TTAATAACGGCAGTCAAGTACTCGTCGACCTGGACAAGGCTGCGGCTCAAAGAAACCTCCATTCCGAGCCGGAGCCATTTCTTCAGTTTCCATATGATTTCGGGGAGGATGAATCTCTGTAAGGAGGCCTCAGTGGCCCGGTCAAAGGCCGAGGCAAAGGCATTCACCGGCAGGCCAGGGGCTAGAGTATGTGGGTCCCGACCAAACGCCAGACCACATATATTGTCGAACGTGAGGCGGAGGAGGAGGTCCTGGAGGTCGATGGGCCGGGCCTGGAGACGGGCCGAGTCGAGGATTGGGCAGAGACGGTCGTGGATGGAGCGGTTGACCCATCGGGCCATGGCTTGGCGGAGGGTTCGGGTCGTGAACTCGAGGGCGGCCGTTTTTCGCTGGAAGAGCCAGGTGTCGCCGTCGGAGTTGAAGATGCCCTGGCCGAGGAGATCGTGGAAAACGGCCTGCCAGGTGGGTCCCTTGGGGTAGTTGTCGAACCGGGTTTTGAGTATATGCTCGAGGTTTTTTGGATCGCAGGTCACGGTCACGAGGCCTTGCTTACGGGCAAGGAAGGGTACGGCACAGATGCAGGTTTGGTAGGTCCCGCCGCATGCTCGGAGGTTGTCGGAGATCCAGTCGTGCATTCGGTCGGCATTCTCAATGAGGCCCGGGAGGCTGCCGAGAACGGGCCACACGCGCGGGCCCTTGAGGGATTTGGAGATGAAGGTGAACCATAGGAGGTAGCAGGTGACAGCTGAGAATAAAAACAATGCCAGGGATATATCCATTGTAAGCAAAAAAAAAAAAAAAAAGATCCTCTCTTTTCTTTCTTTTTTTTTTTATCTAAAGATGAAACCTGAAATGTGCTTAAAAGAATGTAAGAGACTGATGGTGATTTTTTTGTACAGACAGTCAGAAGGATGTGTGGGGAGGGGGAGGAAACTGGGAAAGAAAGAGTGTGTGAGTTTGTGTGAGTGTGATTTGTGTGTGAAGAAAAATGTAATGAAGAGAAAGGGGAATTTATAATGGATGAGAGAAAAAAAAAAAATCAATTGAAAAGAAGGGGTAATAACTAAGGCCAGTCTGTGGCCTTGAATTACACCATCTCAACTTGTCTCACTATAAACAATATCAGATGATGCCACCATTAATGCATTCCAGAGGCAGTTGGAAAGATTTTAAGGAGGAATACAAAAAGAGTCAAAAAAAAGGTAAAAACCACTCTGTAAAAAAAGAATAAAAACCAGCTAAAGTGTTAAAAAGGATAAAAAAAAAAATATATAAATGAAAAGAACAAAGAAACAGAAGCACACACACACACACACAAAATGGTGAGAAACCCCCTGATTATGAAGCTTTCTCTCTCTTTCCAACTAATTTCTGCAGTGAGAAAGATGTGGGGACTTTATTCCAAGCATTCAATGAAGGGAAATAAATGAGATTAGTTGAGAAACTACTGTATAAAGAAGAAAATAAAATTTCAGAAAAATAAGGAAAACTGGCTTGTTATGATTTGGCTTTTTTGAAATTTTTTTGCTTTTATATTATTTTTTTCCCCATTCGTTATTGAATCATTTTTTTGTTCATAAAATTTATGAGGATCATAAATGGAACATGGGCTGGAGCTTGTGGCTATAGTTATCAGTTCGGTGAACAACCCACCAACAATTTATAGCATCAAGCTTACTTTTCGTGAATCATATTAAAAATAAACAAAGACTCAGAAACAGGTGAGAAAATTTTCTAATCTTTATCTAGGATTTTTCTTTTTTCTCATTCAAGAGACCAGTAAAATTTGAACACAATGCTTATCTCAGTTTCAGAAACATGAGAGCTGACTTTGACCTTGACCCTCTTCAATGCTAATGTGGCAGGCACAAAAGTCAACCCCATTCAGCCATGAATTTCCTGCCAAGAAATTAAAAAAGAGAAATGAAAAGGTCAACTTTACTTCGGGTTCAACAAATTTTACCTGATTTTGGAATTTGAGCCCCTCTTTTTTTTTTTTTTTTTTTTTCTCATGCCAATCCGTGGACTATTATCATATTAAAAGTTAAAACAACTCCCTGATTCTAAGATGTTAACCTGCTGAGGGTTCGACCTTTTTTCACCGTCGGATCAACAAACACGTGAAAAACCCGGTGACTGCACTGTAGTCAACGGTAGGGTGAAATCTACCGTAAACCTGCATACATTTTATGATAATACTTGAACTGAATTATATTACCTTCAGACACACACACACACAGAGAAAAGAAAAAGAAAAATGTCAAAAGATCGATACATAGAGAAACATATTTTTTTCATCAAAACATTTCACCGTGAATGTATACATTATTTCTAAGAAACATGACAACGAAGTCAAAATCGACTCGCCTAACTAGTTTCAACCGTTATCCACTGACTAATAGCGGCTTTCGTGAGTAGTGAAGAGAAAGTATAGTAAATCCACTAGACATTATAGGATGCATAAGTAAGAGGATCAAATAAGATAACAATCTGGAATCATAGTGACTCAATGTGCACTTAGGCTACAGTTAGTTGAAAACAACTTATGTCATCATACTTTCCCATTTTTTTTCCCACAATGGATGTCACTTATTTGTAGTGTTTCACCAGTTTGGTGAAAAATCATCGTGAGCAATAAACACATGTTTGTGGCAAATATCTCTTCTTACCATCTTACCACACAAGAAGCATCTCTACTTGCACTAGCATATCACACAACTTCAACTCGCTAACTTGCATTTGCTAAATTGAGTGAACAAAAAATTTAACGATTGATAATAAATTTACGATTAACAAATATTCGCTAGTTGGTCCATAAACAAGTAGAAAACATTGTAATATCAGAAATAAGAAGCAATTCATTCCACCACATCAGGGTTGAGATGACAGGGGCACTGGAGGCACAGCTTAAGGGTACTTGCAAATGTAGCCGATCGGTTCTTGCTCTAAGCACACTATAATTTTAACATCCATTGAAAGGGCACACAAATTCCATCTACTTGAACGTTACTATCATCTTCTATACAAGTATTTTGATAAAGGGAACTTCAGGCTCCTTGCAACCTGTAAGCCATTTGAAATACATCTTATGACTGCATTAACCAAGAAACTAAGAACAAATTAATGAAATTGCCAAACTTAGCCTCAAGGTCTAATCTATTTAGACAAAGTCCATTTATCTTCCGAATTTGGAAATAGTCTGGTTTGGATTTACATATAAAATATCCTCCTCTCGATAATGCAATATGTAGAAACAAATATTAAATTAAGTATTAGTAAATTTAGAAAAAACAAGTATTCTTGTAACTACGCTAACCTTCAACAGGATTTTGAATAATTCATAATTTCAAATTTCAAATATGCATGATTTGGCAAATACCTTTAAAGCCATGTCTTCGGATACTGTGGATCGGTACCGTGTCGAGCCCTCAAGTGGGCAGCTCCCTCCTTTGGTGATAAAATTCGCACTGCATAGACTGGATAGTTGCAAGAGAATGTCGGACATTAATCCACTGTTAGAGTCATCGGCTCCAAAACCACCACTTTCTAGATCTTCACCTTCAGCTGAACATTCAGCAACCGATGTGATGCACTGAAATATGGCAAACAACCTTTCGAGTGGGAATGTTCCAGGTCCTTTCATGAGTTGCTCTTGTTCTTTAATTTCCTTTTGCTCCATTGACTTTTCCGAGCTCCTGAATACAGACACAAGAAACAAAATTATTATTCCTAGTTTTGGGCTTTTAACTATCAGATGGAGACATAACTAGTTTAGTAAACAACTGACCCAATGGCTCGATATGATTTTAGTGAAGCACTACAGGAAAGAGTCGCTAATGCAAATATAAAAAATAAAAAGGATTGTGCCCATCCGCATAGCTTGAACATGATTTGTCTTTCAACATAATTAAAACAAGAGAATTTCAATGGAAATGAGATGAATATATAGGTAAAATATTACAATCTAAAACATGTATCAAATGACAAATATCCTACTTTCTCTTTCTTTTTCGGTTATCCAATTCTCCGGTTGAATCGAAGAGTGATGCATCAAGAGTTGCAGGATTTCTTGAAGCAAGAAATGCAGAAATTAGAAGATATTTTGCAGAAGTTGACATATGAAAATCTAACTCGTTTAAAGCTTCACAAATTCCCGGTTTCCTAGTAATGCTCTTCTTCAGGTTCTTTTCTTTGCTTCCCAAGTCTTTGAGTAAAGGCTGAGAAGAAACGCTAAACATCTCGTTCAGGGACCGCGAAATAAATGGTTGGATATGACTGAATAATTTTCTCTTCATATCCTCGTTCGGAACAGTTCCCAAATCCTCAAGAGGTTCACAATACTTCTTAAATAGAGGTGAAAAGGCAGTACGTAGTTCGTCAACCCGTCTCGTAATCCTGTAGAAAGGCCTCAACACCAAACTGCACAACAGAGAAAACAATAAAGAACACAGGTTATGAAAAGACATTCTTTTACCAACAATTCAATATAAATGAACTACACTGAAAGCCACTATAAAGAAAACATCATACTTACTCCAGGAAAGACGAATATAACTTGGGATTCGCTTGGTTTTTCATGAATATGTGGCGCAAATCATCTTCCGTGTACTCGGGAAAATAGACAGGAAACGGCTCCGCAAAACCCGTGTCTGACGAAAATGTGTCGAGGGAAGTTCTACCAATGAAGATCAGCCCAACCTCTGGCATTTTCAGCATGCCGTACAGATTAAACAAAAGAGTATTCATACTAAAACTCTTGTCCCATTCCCTGGCAACTTCTAGATTATCGAATATCAAGTAAACCATACTTCCATTAACCGTCGAGGACGATTTCTTAGACCCAGATTTCCCTTTATTCCCCTTCAGGCTGTCCATAAGCGTACCCAATGCTTCACGCAGCAAATTCACGAAATCGGATGGCTTTTCACATCTCTTGGCACTAGAATAACCGTTGCTCTCGTTCTTCACGTGAAGCAAAAGCTGATTCAACAAGGACTCGAACAGTATTCTCGGACTGTAGCAGGTTATGCAGCTACAGTACACGAACGGGCGCTTCAGGTGCTTGAATGTACTGAGCACGATGCTTGTTTTCCCGGTCGAAGCACCTCCATAGACAAACAACGGGAGCATGGGAGAATTCAAAGGACCTAAACACCTCATCAACTCGTTGATTTGCTTTCGCCTACCGGGGAAGGAGCTGATTACATCCTCAAGGCTTACGAACTCGCCGGGGAAAACAAGGTCGTTTATGGACGGCGACGGCGGATCCTTGGCATCAGCCTTGGAAACCTCCGTAGGGGAGGTGCAAGAGGACGACCTCGTGGATCTCCGTTTAATCTGTGTCTTTCCGTCTCTATCCATCTGTATTGCAGCGAGCAGAAATCTTGAGCTTTTGGCAGTGGTAGAGCCAATGTGGAAGCGTCGATGGAGTGTATGTGGGTGAGCAGTGGCAGTTGTTGTCCTTGTCGCCGCTCGCCGCCGTTGACGTTGGGAGAATAACTGTAAAAGTCGATCGACAAATGCAGGGCTGTTTAGGGTTTCATTTTTCCCGCCAAATCCATTGACGACCGAACTCAAGTTAATTCCGGATTAGTCGGTGTGGATCCAGAAACTGGAAGGTCCCTGAAAAAAAAAAAAAAGTGAAACCAGCCAAAAGAAAATAAAAAATGAGGCCCAAAAGTATAATTGGGGCTGATATCTATTATAGATATGTAGAATTTACCAATATTAATATTATCTTTTTCATTATTATATTCAAATGTGTATTGAAGTGTGTGCAAGTGTATTATTGTGCCTTGAAGTTTGCCTATAAAAGGAGGCCAATAGCATTGTAATATTTGCACGGAAAAGTGAAGAAAGAAATCAGATTATAATTGTTCCGGTTTTTATACATTGTGTTCTTTATATTCCTCGTATTTTATAACACGTTATCAGCACGAACGCT